TCATTTACTACCTCTTCTACCATCTTGTTTTTGCCCTTTGCCGCGGCATGTGATGTCTCCTTAGCCACTTCCTCCTCTACTTCCTTTGCCGCGGCATGTGATGTCTCCTCACTCCCATTACCATCTTTGCGTACTTCTTTCTCTTTTGCCTTGTCCTCCTTTTCCTTCTTTTCAATCTCGGCTAACACTTTGCAAGTGAAAGCATGATGTCCAAATCTCTTACAATGGAAGCAATAATTAGGGAAAGTCTCATACCTCACTTGTTGTTTGTGTAATTTACCATTCGGCATAAGGATTGGGATGACAAGAGGAGGTGGTTTGGATGCATCCACCTCAATCAAAACTCTAGCGAAATTGGATCTTGCTTTCTCAAGTGTGACTCTATCCGTAGTCAAGGGGATGCCTACTTTAGATGCCACCTCACTTATAATATCCTCTTCCCAAATTCTCATAGGAAGATGAGGGAAAAGAACCCAAATAGGTACTTTTAAGAATTCCTCACCGTCCATAGAGAAGTCTTCCGAGAGCATCTTCAAGTTGATTGTTTTCCCAAAAAGGGAATAAGGTCCCTCCATTAGCACTTTCTCCCTATCTTGGGCATTTTGAAATCTAAAGATCACCCATCCTTTGTCATGGGACCTAAACCGGCAAGGGACAGCCCATTTTTGCACCAAGGTTTGAATATTATGAAGCCCGGGGAACCTCCCATCAAAATAAGCAACTAAACAATATCCCCACAATTCAATCATTGTAGCAAGCTTCCGGGTTCTAAGGTCAATTACATCTCCTTTGGGCTCAATGTACCTTAGTTTCATACCTTTATCCGGCTGCCTATTATCCTTGAAAAGTGAAGCAAATGCCTTTTTAGGTTGGGTTTCACCGGGGACAACAGTTTTGCCCAATGCCGCGGCATAAGGAGCAATTGGGTCAAAAGAGGTGCTTTCAGTCACCACAGCCTTCCCTTTGGAGTCCTTCACCTACTCTTGAATCATTTCAACACTAGCATTGACAATATCCCCAATAACACTTTCGGTAGTATGCAAAACAATAGCATTTTCAACATGACTTTCAATACTTTCAACCCTTGGCTCACTATTAGGCACAACATCATTTTCAACAAGACTTACAATGTTTTCAACACTTACAATAGCATCATCCCCTTCCAAAGATTCAATCACGGCAGTCTCACATGGAGGACTAACCTCATTGATAACCTCACTCACGGTTTGAGCTTTCAATGGTGCAATTGGAGAATTGGCACCATTTTCAATTTTGGAGCTTTCATTTGTAACAACAGGTGGCTCATTCATAACAACCATATTTACGATTGTTTCAAGAATTGGTGAAGCAATTACCTTTTCAACTACAAGGTTTGAAGTTGAATCCTCGGCCACCATTGTTTCAGCAACCTCTATCTCCTTTTGTGTGTTTATTTCCTTCTCTTGCATCTCACTTTCCTTATTTTGAGCTTTCCCCTTGAGTCTCGAGGAAGCTTTAGTCGGAGTCTTCTTCTTCTTTGCCGTGGACTTTGGTTTCGGCATTTTGTAACCAAAGTCCAATTCACATGGAAGGGGAAGCTAGGAGGAGCTACCCCTCCTCACCAAGTTGCTGGAGTTGTTTCCTTCTTCGTAGCTCAATATCCGTACCAATGGAGTCCGGAGTGAATAGTAGGTGATTGTACGGACTTCGTTGATGATGAAACAAATTGTATAAGGTTGATGCTCTTGACAAGGGGAAGCTAGATATGTGCTCAGAATCCAAAATGATCGAATGGATTTGAAGGAACAAGCGTTGACCTTCTCGTGTGAATAGTAGTGAATAGTAGTCGGCGAACTGGTTTGGAGCTAAGAACTCAAAAAACCTCCAAAAACGCTCAAATTTTTTGGAGATAACAAGCGTGGGTAGTAATGGAGTTGATATCCAAGCTGAATCAAGAAGAATCGGTGAAGAAAGTGTGGATTTCGGTTGGGAAGAAACGAACTTCGGACGTTCGCGAGAGAAGCGAGCTCTCAACTTCACCAACTTTTTTATCTTACCGAGTTCTCTCTTACCGAGTTCTCCGGTTTCCTTGTCATGTTGGCACGAGAACGCCATTTCTTTTGAAAGATCCTCGAGTCTCATCTTATTGTGCAGAACACTTACGCTTTTTGACTGGGTCTCTCATTCTCTTTTTCGCAAGGTAAGAGGTCTAGCTATTCAATTAATTTTATTTTATTTTTTCAATTTTCAGATTTTCACTAAACATTACCCCATTCTAATCTCGGCCTCACCAAGGAAAATTAGCAATTAAGGTTCAATTATTCAAAGTGAATCCATGTCTACCATGCAATCCTCGAAAATATCAAATTCCTAAAAAGTGACTGCTCTTACCCCATTTGGGGCATAGGAACAGTGCCAAAAGTGGCTCCTACAAAAATTCCCTAAACTTAATAAATTAATCCCCTAGTTCCCTAAATGCCAAGGCTAAGTCAGAAATATTCACGGGTAAGGAACACATGTCATTTGGTTATGGAGCTCAATTGATTGGGTAAGAAACAAAATGGTCAGACTCAAAGTGGCTTTTCCTAAAGGACTTTTTCAGGTGAGATGGAAAAATTATGAATTAAATGGGTGACTAATGCCTTCATCCTTTCAACAACTAGATTATAGTGCAAGCAATTTAAGCCTAAACACTTCAAGGGTATCCTAAAAGCACAGTCAATCGTTAGCCAGCTCACAAAGACATAGTTTAAAGAAAAATTTTCAAAAATTTGACATGAATTTCCTATGAATATACAACTAACACCTGCGCATGCTAACTCTAAAAATCACATGTAACAACTACTGCCCGAATGCCTAATTCGCTCCCCCACACTTAAACTTTGGCATCGCCCTCGATGACCAAATATGCACTATGCAAAAGGGGGTAAAGAGGAAAAGGTCACGCGTGCTCAATCTTAACTCAAGTCAACATTACAAAAAGGCGATTATAAGAGTCGCAGAAACTTCCCTAGGGCGTTGGTCGGTGCAGAACTAAACTGAGTCTAAGTGGTCCTCGGCACATCATCCCCAAAGCAAGACCCTGAGCTGCAAAAACAAAACACACAAAACAAACACAACAACAAATGCAGAAGTAAGCTCGGGTTGCCTCCCGCGAAGCGCTATTTTTAACGTCGTGTGCCCGACGATACCTCATAAGCTCTCAAATAACAAAGACTGCAGTGGTGCACTAATAATCAATGTCTCCAGCTTCCTCTCAACAAATGCCATTAGATGGCGCTGATCCTTAAACTCTTGGAACCACGAAGGAATCACATGGTCTTCAAAAACCGTATCAGCACAGAACTGAAGGATCAACCTCACATCCTCCTTGAATGGACATATGGCATGAGTCAAAACTTTGATTACTCCAGGCATCAGTGGAAGCTCAAAAGATATTTCGAAGCAAGGATCTGAAGCAACATCAAACTCAAACTGCAGCATGGAAAAGTATTTTTCTTCCTCACAAATATATTGAAAATTCACAGAATCTCCTATGGACTTTGTATCACTCCCCATGTGAGTATCCCAGCTCTCGGTAATACCGTTCTCATGAATGTCGTCTTGGATGATGTTGTCACTTTCCAGACAAAAAGGAATATCATCCTCAAGGAGTGAATCAAAGAAATCCAAACTTGGACTAACGTAAGAGGAGTAATCTTGTATGTGGAGCGGGACTTCTTCGTCATGGAGATCATCTACCTTGCTATCACTCTCTTGGAGCTCGTGATTATATTTTCCCAACTCATCTTCAATACCCAAACCTACCTCAGTAGCACCATCATCATGACTGATCTTCTCCTTGCCCTCCTCAGGTGTTGAGACTATTGGTAAATCAAACAACTGGTGAGTTTCTGTATGGAAATCACAGTGATTTGTGACTTCATCCGTTACATCTTGTGCCGTTACAAACTTTTTCATGTATTCTTCGAAAAACAACTTGACACTATTATCTTCTTCTTCATCTTCAAACATAGGCGAGTCTTCGACATCATCAGGAAGTGTATCATCCATCATATTCCCACCATCATTGTCTGACTCACTCACGTGATTATCCCTATTGGTCTCCTCGAATTGGTCTTCTACCAGATGGATCCTTATGGTATTTATATCCTTCATCATGGCAGAAGTGCTCTGCATTATGGCTGAAGTGCTCTCCGTTATGGCTGAAGTGCTCTCCCTCATCATCTCTGTGTACTCAGACAAAATCTCTGAAAGTGTCTTCTTAAATTGATTATGTGGCTCATTATTCGGCAAAGATGTAGGAATGGCTGAAACATTTGTGTCTGTAAATCGTGGGGAGGACGAAGTGGGGTATGCAGTTGCCCAGTAAGGATGGTCATATGGAGATTTAACGGGGCAAAAAGATATATGGTGGCATCCTCCACAGAAGGGACAAATATTATTCTTAGGCAGACAAGTTTGTGTGGTTGGAGGGTGTGAATAAGAGAACTGATAATTTTGTGGTGTAGGAGAGTAATTTTGATGAGATGTGTAATATTGAGGAGGAGGAGGAATGTAAGGAGAGTATTGCGTAAATGATGAATATTCCATGGAGGTTTGAAGGTAAGGAATTCCGCCTGGAATTTCGTTGAATGGGTTCATCTCATGTTTCTTAAAATAACCTGAAAGGTTAGCACAGAAAAATCCTACGGAAAACAAAAAGAAAAACTAACTAAAAAAAAATCTCGCTGAAATTAATTAACCCTTAAAACCGACACCGTCCCCGGCAACGGCGCCAAAAACTGATGTGAGTTTTTTCGCACTTAAAAAGATTGTAGAATAGTGGTGAAAGTATGAGTATCGTCTCCACAGGGACGGACAAAAGGGAATTAAAGATTAACTAAATTCAGCGATTAAAAAGAAATAAAATTAAATAAATACGTCGTACGAGATTTATTGGTTGAATTGAAATTAAACTAATGCGAATGAGCGAGAGAGTGCAGACGTAGATATCCCCAGCCAAGGTAAACGGTAGCATGGCGACTTCACCGGTGGAGCACGTTCAATGTTTCGGGCGTAAGAAGACGGCAGTTGCCGTGACACACTGCAAGCGCGGCCGTGGACTCATCAAGATCAACGGAACACCAATCGAGCTGATCCAGCCAGAGATCCTCCGTTATAAGGCCTGTGAGCCTATCCTCCTTTTGGGCCGCCACCGCTTCGCCGGCGTAGACATGCGCATCCGTGTCAACGGAGGAGGTCACACAGCTCAAATCTACGCCATACGTCAATCCATCGCCAAGGCTCTCGTAGCCTTTTATCAGAAGTTTGTCGACGAGCAATCGAAGAAAGTGATCAAGGACATCCTCGTCCGCTATGACAGGACATTGCTTGTTGCGGATCCAAGGCGCTGCGAGCCCAAGAAGTTTGGTGGACGTGGTGCTCGTTCCAGGTTCCAGAAATCCTACCGTTGATTGGCAGTTTGGAAGTCTAATGCAAAGTGTTTGTGTTATCTCGTTTAGTAAGCCGTCCGTTCAAGTTTTGGTTTATCTGCTCTAATGAACTTTTGATTATTTATTTCAGCTTTTGTGGAACTCAGTCTGAAGTTTTATATTATGCTTATTCCGTTTGTCATTTAAAAAAAAAAACTAATGCGAATGAGCGAATAAAAGTAAAGATTTGGGTTCTTCTTAATTAACGACGAAGGGAACATGGATTGATTCCGGGGTAATCAGATTTCTGGGAGATCAAGTTTAATTACATGAATTTAATTTAATTGAGCCTAGCTAATCAATACTAAGTTCTTACCGCTTAATCGCTACTAATCTCTTAGCAAACGATTAAGTGTGTGTGAATGTGTCCTAGAATAAACTAGATCTCTCTTAATTTATTCTATGTGCAATTGTAATTCTAGCCCCGGTCCCAGATTACAAAAAATAACAGTTAAATTATTCAAACACAAATTAAATGACATTCATGTAATCAAACCATCAAGAAACTAGCCATACATCATGATAAACCCCTTCATCAACCCCAAATCCCTAATTAAAACTACTCGCAATTCATAATTGAAGAATCAACGAAATTGGGAAGAATAGAATTAATTGCCATTAATCAAAAAGTAGGAACTTACAAAGAATCTCAAGGAATTGAAAAACAAGGCTTGAAAAGCTCTCAAAATTCGTCCTTAAGCTGCTAAATAAGTTCCATCCCCCCTTATTAGGGTTATGGGGGTGTAATTTATAGGAAACAAGGCAATTTGGACTGAATTAGGACAAAACGGGGTCAGGCACGGCGCCAGGCACGACCGTTCCTGTGACCGTGCCTCCAGATAAAAAACGCGCATTTTGGACAGGCACGGTGTGCCTGCCTGGTAGTAGCTCCGCGATGCTTTCTCTTCACGCACGATCGTGCCTGACTTTGAGGGCACGATCGTGCCTACTTAACTTCCGAAATTGGCAATGCTTCCTTCATGAAATCCTGTATGCAGATAATGAAGTCCTGTATCCACTCCAATTTGCCGAATGTTATTTGAATCATCGAATCAAGAGATATGATCAAAACGGTGTAAGGTATCATTCTGAAATCGCAGCAGAGATCATCTGACTTCATCGTCTGTTTTCACCTTCTTTCTCTCCGATTCTAGCAAAGGTGTCTTCATATGATTTGTAGACCTTGAAGTTAGATTTCATATGGACTTTGCATCGTGTATATTGAATGTTTCTACAAAGAGATATGCTTGAACGATTGACAGAAGGTCATCCTGATTGCCGATTTCAAGCTCCATTCATCTTCTTTTGATCCCGTAGCCAATCCTAGAGCTCTTTTGTCATCAAATCTTCATCGTAAACCTCCCGCTGACCTCCATAGCTCTCAAATCAATCTCAAATGCTTCTCAACTCATCCCGATTTCTCTCCTCAAGCGCCAGTGCCGAACTCTAAAATCCTGATTTTGACTCCAAATGACACAAAACTCGAACCAACGCCCGGTAAACATAACTTGAGCTAAATTTGAGACTTGTAACACCTTAAAGCTAGGGAAAACCATCAAATCCGATCCCAACACGCATCAAATACATGTCTAAATACGGACTTATCAGGTACTAAGGGTGTTCATGAGAAGGTCAGACCAGAAAAGCAAAAGATAAAATCTCAACCAAAACAAGTTTTGATAATTAATGAACCTGGAAGAAAATCTAACAGCAGAAAAGGTTTTCAAAATAACAGAAATCAAAGACAGAACTTGACCAGACAGTCTCATGACTACCTAACCAGAAATGATCACCAGAGAGGCAAATATCAAGAGAAGGTTAACTTCAGGAAGAAGAGGTTGACTGGTCAACCTCAGAAGCCCAAAGCTAACCGCCCCTCTGCTCTTGATAGTATATGAGAATTCTACCCAACCATAAAGGCTATGCAGAAGTATGTAAACAGGAAGCATGATCCTCACAAGCATCTGCCTAAAGTGAATCACACTTCCGTTTACTACGACTACCAGGTGGACAATGGGTACCACCCACCAAGATTTCACTTGATGACACCAAAGTGGTACCAGCTGCCAAGACTGCATAACCCCTTAGGACCCAACATTGCTTGGGTACCTAAATCTTCTTCTTATTGATGCAGAAATTGTGTGCTGGAGCAATCTCTGAACAAGATTGGTACATCGATAGTGGATGCTCCAGGCACATGATAGGTAACAAGAGTTGCCTTACAGAGTTCCATAAAATCAAAGGGCCCAGAGTTACCTTTGGTGGTAATGACAAAGATGGCCAAACTAAAGGAAGAGGGAAGTTGATCAAAAACCAGATAATCATTGAAGATGTCTCTTATGTCAAAGGCTTGAAATTCAACTTGCTAAGTGCTAGCCAGTTCTGTGACAAAGGCTATACAGTTGAATTCTCCAAAGAACGCTGTTCTGTCAAGCATGAGACAACTATGGAAGTGGTTCTGACAGCTACCAGATAAAGAAACATTTATGTTGTTGATTCGTCTACTGCAAAAGAAGGAATCTGCCTGATAGCCAAAGGAGATTCAAAACTCAGCTGGGAATGGCACAAAAAGCCGAGTCACTTGAATTTGAAAACAATCAACAAACTAGCAAGGGATCACATTGTTGATGGTCTGCCCAACATTGTGTACAAAAAGGAGAACTTGTGCAGTGCCTGCCAGAAAGGAAAGCAAGTGAAGAACTCTTTCAAACCCATTGCTGGAGATCTCTCTACTAGTCTTTTAAATCTGATCCACATGGATTTATTTGGACCAGTAGAAACTCAAAGTGTTGGTGGCAAAAGATACACTCTTGTCATAGTTGATGACTACTCAAGATACACTTGGACAATCTTTTTGAAGAAAAAGGATGAGACTTTGCAGAAGCTACCATCTCTGTTGAAACTTTTGCAGAATGAACAAAATCAGAAAGTCAAAACCATCAGATCAGATAAAGGAACAGAGTTCGTCAACAAGGTCATAAAGGATTTCTGTGACCAGAATGGAACCATGCACCAACTCTCTGCAGCCAGAACTCCTCAACAGAATGAAGTTGCAGAAAGAAGGAATAGAACATTGAAGGAAGCTGCAAGGACCATGATTGCTGAATCTGGTCTACCTCTCAGATATTGGGCTGAAGCGGTCAACACTGCATGCTATACTCAGAATCGAAGCATGATTCACAAGACTCATCAGAAGACCCCCTGTGAGCTATGGAAAGGAAGAAATGCTATGTAAATGCTACTTTCAAGAAATGTTATACTCAGAATCGAAGCGGTCAAACATCAGCTACTTTCATGCATTTGGATGTAAATGCTATGTACTCAACAATGGAAAGGAATATCTCAAAGTGTTCCAAGAAAAAGATGATGAAGGCATGTTCTTAGGCTACTCAAGCACAAACAAGGCCTATAGAATACTTAACAAGAGAACTCTACTTATTAAAGAATCGATTCATGTCAAGTTTGATGATCTCAACTCTGTTGAGAGCATAACAGAGAACTTGGAGAATGTGAATCTTGAAGAATCATCAGAAGTGGTCACACAGAGACAGTCACTTCAGAGTTGGTCACCAACTCTGCTATTCCTATTCATCATCAGAATCCCATTCTACAAAGCAAAGAAAGTGATGAAGAGACAGAATAAGAGCAAGAGAGACCAAGGCTATCCTTGTCAGAACCTGATTTGACATGGTTAATGGATCATCCTCCTAACCAAGTGATTGGACAAGTCAAAAGTGGTGTGCAGACCAGATCTGCTACCACAAGAAGAGAATCAATGTTTGCCTGCTATATATCTCAGATGGAACCCATGACAGTAGAAGAAGCTCTTGCAGACTCAGATTGGATCAATGCAATGCAAGAAGAGCTTACTCAATTTGAAAGAAATAAAGTATGGGAACTTGTCCCTAGACCAAAGCACCAGAACGTGATTGGAACCAAATGGATATTCAAGAACAAAGCTGATGAAGAAGGCAACATTGTAAGGAATAAAGGAAGGCTGGTAGCCAAGGGATATTGCCAAGAAGAAGGAATAGATTTTGATGAAACTTTTGCACTAGTTGCCAGACTAGAAGCCATCAAAATCTTCCTATCCTATGCTGCCTACAACAACATCAGGGTCTACCAGATGGATGTCAAAAGTGCATTTCTGAATGGAGATCTTGAGAAAGAAGTCTATGTGGAACAACCACCAGGTTTTGTCATTCCTACTCAATCTTCCTGTGTCTACAAGCTTAGAGAGGACCTCTGTGGTCTTAAGCAAGCTCCCAGAGCGTGGTATGACACTTTGTCCCTATTCCTAGTGAACCATGGGTTTACTAAGGGTAAGGTAGACAAAACTCTCTTTCAAATCTCTGTTGCTAATCATATTCTGTTAGTACAAATATATGTTGATGATATTATATTTGGTAGTACTAATCCAGAACTGTGCAAGAAATTTTCTCAAGTAATGCAGAGTCAGTTTGAAATGAGTATGATGGGAGAACTAAGCCACTTCCTAGGATTGCAAGTCAAACAATTTCTTGAAGGGATCTTTATCAACCAAGGGAAGTACACCAGAGACCTGATCAAAAAGTTTGGAGCAGAAGGCAAATCATCAGTAAAGATCCCCATGAACACCTCATGAGGGATTGGACCAGATGATGAAGGAAAAGATGTCGATGCAACAACCTACAGAGGAATCATAGGATCTCTTCTGTATCTAACTGCAAGCAGACCGGATATATCATTCTCTGTTGGAATCTGTGCCAGATACCAATCAAAGCCCAAGGAGAGCCATCGAAGTGCTGCAAAAAGAATCATCAGATATATCAAAGGAAATCCAAATGCAGGCCTATGGTATCCCAAGGGAGGTAACTTTGAACTAATTGGTTACTCTGACTCAGATTTTGCAGGTGGCAGGTTAGACAGGAAGAGCACCTCTGGTCACTGCCAACTGCTAGGTGGGAGACTTGTCTCCTGGTTTAGCAAGAAGCAGAATTCAATCTCAACTAGTACAGCAGAAGCTGAATATATTGCAGCTGGGAGTTACTGTGCTCAGCTACTCTGGATGAAGCAACAACTCAAGGATTATGGAATTCATGCAAAGGAGATCAAGCTGTTGTGTGACAACACCAGTGCCATTGCAATCACTCAGAACCCAGAGCTTCATTCCTGGACGAA